TCCAACTCCCTCACCATCCTCGCCCCCCGCCGCATCACCGCCAACGAGGTCACTGGCATCCAACCTCGCCGCCGCCCTCGCCCCGCGCCCCGGATCCTCCCGCCCAAACACATTCTTGCTCGGCACCACCGGCGCCCCCAACGCCGCCCCTTCACCCTCGCCAACCCCGGCCCCCACCGCCGAGACCGCCGAGGAGGCATACCACGGCCCGCCGTCCGTCAGACCCGCCCCGTCCCGCCCCGCCGCGTTCACCAGCCGCATCTGGTACTGGTCCTTGAGCTCGCGCTCCTTGCGCGCCGCTTCCCGCTCCGCGTCGGGGTGGCCCTCGCGCGAGCGGGCCGTGTGCGCGTCGGGCTCCGGGAAGAGTGTGAGGTGGCCTTTGCTGTCGAGTAATGGGGCGGAGGAGGAGGTGGTGATGGTGGGTGTGGTGTGGGTGGTTAGTTCGCGCGCGGCTGTGGTGCGCTCGCGCGCGATGCGCATCTCGAAGTCCGTGTCGTCTTCCCCGTGGCGTTTGCGCTTGCGTCCGGGGGTGTCGCGGTCCCGGCCGTGGGGGGCTGGTGGTGGTGGTGGGAGGGTTTCGTCGGGATGTGGCTCTTCGAGCGGAGGGGGGATTTCACCGCGCAGAATGGCTAGGCGGCGCGCGGCATCTTCCTTCTGCATGAGTTGCTCCTCGGCCTCCTCCGGGCCCTGGGCGGCGGCTTCGTCGGGACGCACCCCGGGCGATGTGGCGGAGGTTGTAGACGTTCCATGATTTTTGCCGAAGAGATGTCTTGGTGGGTGTTGGGTTAGTATGGGGTGTTATTTGCGGTTTTGTGACGGATGATGTGGCTTACAGAGGGCATGGTGGTGGTGATGGCGGGTTTGGATTTGTCTCGAAGACTCGATGGAATGGAACTCAATTTTGGTGCACCTTGATGGTTACCCTCGAATCGCCTGGAGCTCCGCATGCCACAGCAAGATGATGCAGTGGGAGCCAAGCTCCCCCACAAAACTACCCCACCAGATAATGAGATGCCAAGAAACAAGCTGCACTGTCGCTACAATAAAGGCACAAGAGTCAGCTGCAACGAAGTCGAGCCCCGCTGCATTCTTTGTTCAAGCCACTCCCCCTGGCTGCTGCTGGCCTGTGGCGGAACTGAAACGGCATCTGTCCCAACAATAACGGGAACATCACCAACAACAAACCCTTTTATAGACACTGTTTGCTTGTTGGCCCTGCGATATCTGCCGCTGTGTGGCATAGGCCAGTAACCAAGTGTGGCAAAAAAACATAAAAGCCAGACGATCGCCTGCCAAAGGCCACGTCTTTCGAAACTCGCAGGCACCCCGCGACACAGCCCACCCGACCTGACCTGACCACCGACCCAACCCTGTCTAAATTCCCTACACTATCCTCGCGAGCTAGTTTCACCCACCAAACCGCCGGTTAGTTCACATCACACGAGCGACCATAATGGACCGCAACAACCTCTTTAGCAGGCCGGCACACCGTGGGGGAGGGGGAGGCCCGGGTCTTCCTGGACGTCAGGTACAACGGCCGCCGGGAGATGCTGGGGGATACCCGCCCGCACCTGGTGGCTACGATTCGTATGGAGGGCGTCCGCCTGCGCCCGCAAGGCCTCAGTACCCCTCTGGCGGGGGTGCCGGGTACGAGGCCCGGCAGTCCCAACCGAGGGGGGGAGGCCGACAGGTACGGCTGAGGCTCGCCAAGGTCGAGGACAAGACGTTGCAGGCGCAGTACATTTTTGGAAATGTGTGAGTTAGCAATCCTGAATCGTTGAATCGTGACCCGCTGTGAGTACCGCTGGAA